AACAGTAGATAATTAAAAAGATTATAAAGTTATTTAGTTAAGTTTTAAATTTCAACGAGAGTTGAAAGGTCGACTTTTCTTATGTTCTTCTTGAACGAATTTAGAGTTTCTATCGTTCTTAGGTGTCTTGGTAACTTCGACCAGATGAGAGGTCCCATATATTTAATAGAATTCCTACCAAATCTTACAGTTTCGAATCTTGGCAGTTCAAAGTCACTGTTCCGTAAATTATATTGAGTGTTCTTTATATTAAATAAGTCAGAAATATTCTCAGGTACGAGACTGTGCTTAACTTTAAACATCAAAGTGGCAATGTCTTGTAGGCGCCGATTGTTCAACGTCGGTAGTTTGGCGCGACTTAGCAGGTCTTGATAGGACGCTGATCTAGTTTTGTACACCGCCCTAAGTGCTCGCTCCTGAATCCGCTCAAGCTTTCTCCGATCCGATGCATTACAAAAGTGCCATACTAAATGACAGTAGGTTAGATGGTTCTACTGAATACGTTTCAACAATTCTTTTCGCTAACTTATACATGGATAATTACTACATACTTAGATATATTTTACTTCGAAGATTATCTTAACAAACGGGAAGTTCTGAGAATCAGTTTTTAATGCTACATGTTCAATTAATGGTTATTTTTCTCTTCCTGCTTAAGGGCTCTTTCGCAGTTTGGACAACGCCAGTTTACATTTGAACCTTCCAAACTAGTTGTTGAAATGCATTTCCTGTGAAAAAACTCCTTGCAGCTACAACATTTCACACAACGAGAAGGAGACTTCGAGTCTGACTCTTCCTTCGGCATTCTAAACTCGCACATTACAGAGACCTCTTGAACCTGACCTTTCAGACAACCTTCTCTCAAAAAACGAACTCACTTCTTGAGAAGTTAGTTTACGTGCCGTCATAGAATTGGAAATTTTGTCTAGAAAGCGAAATTATCGATAGGAATACGGCCGAACGCTGAATACGAATTGAGTGAGCAAATAGATACTTTGATATCTCGGACGATAACAAATTTCCCGCCTTTGCGAGCTAGTTTAGACCATTCAATTGTCCGAGAGTTAATCGACCGTAACATTTATCTTTCCTCTCCGTTTCCGGTGTTTTCACGTCCTCCTTTTGACAGGTTTCGTGGAGGGGTCACTATGTTGTAGTTGTGATCGGCCATCCGTCAAAAGGATGCATCTGTAATATAGGTGAGCAACGAAAAAAATGCAAATATCTTAACGCAAATACGAAGTCAGAACCAAAACCGAAGTACATGTTCGTTTCTACTCTGTTTTGCGGGTCAAAAATGCTAAATAGTGCGCTTTCCATTGCGGAAGGGGGGCAAAGCGGAAGATGGAAAGTACATGACTATTACAAAACAAGGTTATAGCTGCGGGTAAAACATACATGTAGAAGTCGGAGCCAAATAGTTGAGATTTGCGAACTTCCTCTTGCTCTTTCTATATAAGCCTTGACAGGGAACGCCTTCTGCCTCGAAAGTTAACTTAACCTACAATTTAATTTAAAGTGGTTTATATCATTTTCAACCTTTTGTTTATGGTGGTTCAAGCATGGGCTGCACACATGCATTGCAGAGGACGCACCTGGTTCTTTTCCGTTCCGCAGTAAACAAACTACCCCCTCCTCCCCCCTTAAAAAAGAGAAGCAGCGCCAAGATTATAAACTCATTACCTTTTGCCCTTGTCGATCCATTCAGACACCTCTTTAGGCATCAGTGCACAGTCCTTAACAATGAATATTGTGGTCCCGTTAAGTAAAAAGCGTAACGTATGACATTATGATCATAAGTTTACTAGACACGACTTAGGTTTTTAAGTTCACCTGATGATTGTGCTTGTGGTAAGAACAGCTACTTTGACAACGAAAATTTAACCCCAAGCTCGTATTTTATTCGTGGGCTGTTAGCATTACTGACAGGTATTTCATTGTTTGGTGAATAAAACAAACTGGCCAAGCGAAGAGATTACTCAAGCATGAATGAAACACATTCGAAATAATTGTTAAGGTTAAAAAGCCAATAAAAATATAAGAATTCAAGAGATTGACAGCCAAACCCACTGTTTGTGTTTCCGGAGTTTAGGGCCAGATGTCCTGCATCAAAACTCAAGGGATTTTCTACCCAAAATAAGCTTGATTGACGCAGGGAAACTTGACCACAGAGTTTACCAGTTCGCTTCAGACGCCAGACTGAACTCACACTTCGTTCGGGTCAATTCGAACGATTCTTCAGTAGTACGTCACTCGGAACTGATATATTAAGAGACGTTCACAAAGTCGACCGACTATGAAGTTGGTGAAGTCGAATACAGCGTTCGTCTGGTTGGTATTTTGTGTAGTTTCTCTACACCATAACCTCGTTTCGTCCAAGGTCAGGAGGTACTACATCGCAGCTGTCGAAAGAAAGTGGAACTACGCTCCAAGCGGATACAACAACGTGAAAGGATTGAAGCTTGGGGAAGATAGGTGAGTACGGTGTTTCTTTTATTTCTACGTGAACGCACCCATTAAGATTTCGAAAGCAGTAACAATACAAGCTTCCGCCTTACATCACGATCAGGTTTCTATCGACGCAGTAAGATATTTTCCCTGAGAATCGTTTCATGAAGTGACAGCGCTCGCACTGTAATGATGACCTTCCCTGTGATTTGTGATCTATGGCTCGTTTCACTTTATTTCTATTTATGTTGGAAATGAGATTCACACGAGGTATTCGCCGTGTAATTCTAGTATAAATTAAGAGTTTTCGTATGCTGTGGGTGACTAAAGTAACTAATCGCTTTGTGTTACTCTAGCGAGGCCTTTTATGTCTTTCATACTTATATCAAGCTATGAAAAAAAAAGATTGCGTGACAGTGATATTGCAAAGCAAATTGAACTCCTCATAAAATTTAAAATTTCGACAGAGAGCTTTTAAAGGGTCGGTTCAAACGCATAATTTCACATGTGCCGAACTTAATGCGAGAGTTAAATGCTTGTGAAGTGCGACGTTTAAATTAGACTGTTTTAAATTAAATGCGACTTTCGCCGTATCTGCGACTGAAACAGTCGAAGATTCGACTTAGGTTCGACTTTTGATTCAAACGTCGCATCTCACATGTGCCGAACTTAATGCATGAATTATAGGAAATTATTATGATTCATTTATTCCCCACAACTCGCCAGGAATTCTGTGAATGCCATGTGCGAAAAAGCCAAAACAGCACAAAAAAATGGTGGGAGACGAAGGAATTCGTAGTTCTTTCTTTGCAAAGACAAAATATAGTTGTTTGACGTGCAGTAATTACTTTTGTATGAGGTGTTCGGTTTTTGAGAACGAAGAGGGCACTCCTGGGTGGAAAGTAACAAAATCTGTGGCATATTGCGAGTCGTGTTTCAATGAAATGATGGAACGTGAATCAAGTCAGAGTATCATGACGAAAAGCCAAGATGACGATGCAAAAACAAACAGCAAAACAAAAGCATCAGTAAAGCAATTAAGCAAACGCTCGATAGACGTCTTAGTCTAGCGAATAAGGTAATCTTACATCTCAGTCACGGTGAAAAATAACAAGGTGTCGTCTTACCCCCTCTTGAGTATCGAATCGCATCAAAATATTACCCACTAAGCAAAATTTTCCTTCAGTCCAACGTTCAACCCCGTGCCTTTTCGTGAAAAATATTACTCGCGTTCGACAGGTCCTTTTGTATCCGTCGGGGAAAAAAGGTTAATTTCTTATGTGTTGGGCCATGTTATTCCCTCGAGCTCCTATTAATCTTTGGGGAGACCCTCTTTATGCAGGTCGACTGAGGGAAATTGCGTGACGTTGGAATTGCTCAGAAGGGCGCGAGGCCGGAAGTGCTTTTAGCCTCTCAAACGAATTCTGAAACTCGTTAATTAACGAAAGAGAGAAAGGTGGTTTTTCGTTTTGTCGTGTATGTGGGACAAATGCAAAATCTGTGTCCTGAGGAATTGAACCTCAGACCTACGGATTCCGCGCTTTGATGCTCTACCACTGAGCTGTAGAGACCACGGTGAGCTAAGCCATGGTGCATCTTTAATTATCGAACTCAAGAGTTTGCCAGCTTTCTTATTGACTTTCAATATTCTCTAATATCGTCTTCCATCATGTTCAGATGCCGACTGTGAATAAACTCGAGTCAATTTCAATTAAACTAAAGATCGGTAAGAAATGGCACCTGGTGCAATTGGTGCTTATCAACCTCCATCTGTCACAACAGCTATATGGTATCATGAGTTATTCAGCTTGTTAGACTCTGCTTCATCAAGGAGTGATGACCTCCTCCTGCTTGGTGATTTAAATTGCATGTTAATGGATCCTGGTACCAGTGGTCTTGAGCTTCTAGACTTGTGTGATATATTCAACCTGGACTGTTTGATAGACAAACCTACAAGGATTACTCAGTGATCTCAAACCTTAATTGATGTAATACTTACTAGCAAGAGTAGAAGGTTTCTTAAATCTGGAGTCTTTGAACCTCATCTCAGTGACCATTCCTTTGTTTACACCATTATGAGATCATTTTCTAATTATCATAGATCAAGGAAAGTTACTTATAGGAACTTCAAAGATTATAACAAGGACAAGCTTTTCGATGATCTGGCCTTAATTCCCTTTCATGCTATCTCTGTGTTTGATGATGTATCAGATCAGGCTTGGGCCTTTAACAAGCTATTTACTGATGTCATAAATATTCATGCACCCATTAAACAATTCCATCTTAGGGGTGGGCATGTGCCATACCTGACTCCACAGTGGAGGAAAGCAATTCGGCACAGAAACAATTTATGGAGGAAATACAGACATGAACCTTGTATTACCAACTGGAATTTGTACATGAAGCAGAGAAATTTGTGTACTTCACTTACATGGAAGTCAATAGCAAATTACTTTCATCAGAAAGCAGACCAGTGTTCTTCTAAGCCAAAAGATTTCTGGAAATTCTTTGGTTCTCTTTTTCATTCTAAGAAAGGTCAGGCAAATGACATTGTTTTACAAGAAAATAATGACTTTATTACAGATAAGTCTACCATAGCTAAATTATTTAATGAATACTTTTTTAGTATTTGTGATAATTTTCCTTTACCGAATAAGGATATCTAAGGTTCTGATTTTTCAAGCCATCCTAGTATCCTAACCATTAACAGCTTTATGTCTACAACTAATGATCAGAATAATCAATTTAGTTTACATCCCACTTGCGCTTTTACTGTTACTGATATAGTTCTCTCTCTTTCTTCTTCAAAATCATCAGGTTATGATAATATCCCTATTCGCCTAGTTAAAGATAGTATTCCCACTATTTTGCAAGTTCTATCTAATTCATTTAATTATTCTATTGCTACATGTACCTTTCCTACTTGTTGGAAATTGGGCCAAGTCACACCTGTATTTAAAAAGGGTATTGAATATTCTAAAAGTAATCATAGACCTATTACCACTCTTGGCCACTTTTGGTAGTATATTGGAACGAATCATTGCTAGTCAGTTGAATGAATTCTTTAGTGACAAGCTTTCCCAATTTTTATCTGCCTATCGTCACCATTACAGCTGTGAGACTACTTTGATAATTTTATTGGAAGAGTTTCGAAATGGTCTGGACAAACAACATTTCGCTTCTATTATTAGTATTGATCTGTCCAAGGCCTTCAACAGCTCGCCACGTGATTTAATTTTAGCCAAACTTGCTGCCTATGGTATATCATCCAAAAGTTGTGCATTTATAGGTAATTACTAACTGATCGCTTACAGAGAGTAAAATAAGGCGATCAATTTTCAGATTGGAGTCCTGTTCTTAGAAGAATTCCTCAAGGGTCTGTACTAGGTCCCCTTCTTTTTAATATTTACCTAAATTATTTACTATTATTTAGTCTTCAGTCCAAAATAAGTTCATTTGCCGATGATACTCAGATCTTTGATATTAATAACGATGTTTCCCTATTACATGGACACCAAGAAACTGATCTTGTCACTGCTCATTCTTGGTTTTGCTCTAATGGCCTTGTGATGAATCCAGATAAATGTCCTGCCATGTGGCTGGGTAAGAGCAATGACACTACTATACCCTGTTTTTCCATTAGGAGTCAGGAGATCAGTTTTGTGGGGGTGTGTTAAGCTACTGGGTGTAAACGTTGATCATGACTTAAAGTTTAATGAACATATAGGTAACATAGCACGAAAAGTTAGCAAGCAAATTCAAATTTTACAAAGACATAAAAAATTAATGAACATCCATGCCAAGGTTAAATTATATAATGCCTATCTTTTGCCTCATTTAAATTACTGTTCTATTGTATGGCATCATTGTGGAAAAGGTAATTCCAACAAATTGGAACAACTTAATGAACGTGCGTTGCGCTTTATTTACAATGATGGTAAAAGCTCGTATGAGGAATTATTATTGCGTTTTAAGCATCCTACTTTGTTCAATAGAAGAATTCATAATATTTTAGCATTGGTATTTAAAGCTTTGCATGGGTTGGTTCCAGATATATTTCTAGGCTATTTACTTTACGCAACTGCAAGATTAATCTGAGGGGGGATAATATTCTTATGGTACCCAGGGTTAATACTACTAGCTATGGCCTCCATTCATTGGCCTATCAGGGTATTAAGCTATGGAACTCTCTTCCCAATAACATAAGACTGCTACACGAATTGAGTCAATTTAAATCCGAAATTTCTAAATTGAAATTCGACCTGTAGAATAAATTTTACTTAGTTTTTATCTTGTTTAGAAATTATATTTTAGTATCCTTTGCTTTAGAATTACATTTGTATTTTATATATATATAGTATTTGGATAGTTAGTGATTAGATTAATGTTAAATATTTTAAATTTAGATAATTTAACTTGGGGATATTAGCATGTATTTGCTATCTTAAATTCAAGTATAAATAAAGTTATTGTCATTGTTGTCATTGACATGACGCTTTCGGTATTGGTGATCCTGGCAGTATACAGGACACTTGTCTTTCATGAACCTAGAAATAGCTTAGCCCATCTAGTCTCTGTGGTAGAGCAATCAACAAGCGTGCTAAAAAGCAAACTCAAATTGTGTTTATTTTTTCGCTTTGAAGTGATGCCGCTGTGTTCACCACAAGAGGCGCTCATACAATAGGGAGCGTTTACAACAAGGTGCTCTATCGAGAGTACACAGATAGTACCTTCACCACGAAGAAGGACCACCCAAAATACCTCGGCTTCCTAGGGCCCATATTGAAGGGCGAGGAAGGAGACACGCTTGAGATCCACTTCAAGAATAGAGCCAGTAGGAAGTTCTCGATGCATCCACACGGAGTCTTCTACAGGAAGGACTCTGAAGGTGCTTTGTACGAAGACAAGACCACAGGCAACGACAAGAACGATGATCATGTACCTCCTGGCGGAAGTCACGTGTACAGTTGGAAGCTCACGAATGCTCATGCGCCAACAGACAGCGACGATGACTGCCTTACATGGATATATCATTCGCACGTGCTGCCCCATAAGGATATTAACACTGGGTTGCTAGGTAATCTGGTGTGATAAATAGCTGAATCTACAATACAATTTTTAGCAGTCAGGTAGAAGAATATCCAGAGACAATCATTGAGCCTTTTTTTAAAAGAAATATCTCCCTAGTATTCTTGTTTGGCATGAAAGCTCCAGCAAGAGACACAACCAATTCCAGCAAATAAACAATATTATTTGCGAGCAGGACTGTAGCAGATAAAAGACTGATTTGTTAAAGATTATATTCTAGACGAGAAATGGAGGAAAAAAGTCTTTTATTGCAAAATTTGGAGCTTTCACTTTTTACGACAAGTCACATGATCATGTTTTGTTGCCCATTAACTTTGCGGATGAATGTCAGTGTCTGAGCAGCTGCACACTCACCCCTCCCCTAACCAACAACAGTCAACTGATAACAGGTAAGGATTAGTGTTGGATTAGGGTAGGGGTAGCTGCGCACTTGCACAAAAACTGACATTGATCCAACTTTGTTAATTCATGTTGTTGTCTGTCTTTAGTACGCGTTGCATGCCTATCTGCACGCAGACCCAATTTTTTTCCTTTTTATTTTAGTGATTATTTATTTGTTGTTTTATTCAACTATTAATTTTCCGCTTAAGTGGTTTTACCCCGTCAAAATAAAACGACGTGGGTTATTTGTCGATGGCAGGTACAAAAACTGCCATTTGCGGGAGATGATGAAGACGCACCACGTTGCTCTGGATCTGAGCTGTCCTTTGCTCAATGAATCTTGCGCTAAAGCGGAGAATTGTTACTTTAATTATTTTAGGAATCATGTTGACTTGTAAAAAGGGAGCTTTATCCGGCGATGGACGTAAAGGAGTAGACAAGGAGTTTGTTGGACTTTTTACTGTGCTGGATGAAAATGAAAGTTGGCTTCTTCAGAAGAATATCGACGAGTTCTGTAGTGATCCTTCGGGAGTGAAAACAGATGACGAAGATTTTCAAGAGAGTAACAAGATGCATGCCATAAACGGTTACTTCTACGGCAATCTGCCCGGCCTGGAGATTTGTCTGGGAGATTCTGTCAAATGGCACTTGGCTGGGATCGGAAATGAAGTGGACATTCACACAGGTGAGTTTGTTGGGATCTGTCAATGATTAAGATTAGATATTAAATTGATAAGAAGCTAAATTGAGAAGATTAGATCTTCGTCTACGCTCGAATAATCTCGATGTTAAGCTTTCGAAAGGATTTTGCTAGCCTCCTCTATCTAAGGGCTAACGACGAAGGGCTAACGCTCGAAACGTCAGCTTTTGTAATCGTTACCATTTCAACTTTGTTGATATATCCAAATTATTTCATTACTCCCACCGACGCAGCCCCAAACAGTTTCTTTCGAAACTATCAGCCTTTATTCCTCTATCTAATAGTTCGCCTACCGGTTAGTGCTCTTTTGGCTCTTGTTTAATGTTTGTTTCTTGTTTCACAAATGCAGCTTACTTTCACGGACAGTCTTTCATTATCGATGGTCATCGCAAAGATGTAGCCTCTCTTCTACCGGCAACTTTCGTGACAGCATCTATGAAAGCGCTGAATCCCGGAACTTGGATGTTGAACTGCCTTGTCAACGATCATTATAACGCTGGTATGTACGCCTTGTACCACGTCACGAAGTGTAATGGCAAGAGTAATTACGTGCCAACGGTGAGTGGCGGGAAAACCCGGACGTACTACATCGCGGCAAACGAGGTACCGTGGAACTATGGACCAACTGGAATGAACAACATGGATGGCCAGAGTTTGACGAAACCTGATAGGTAAACTGGCTATAAAAGACGGAGAGTGTATTCCTCTTGAACCAACTATATTTTGATGTAACGTAATGCACCCATAGGTTTTTCGATCGAATGACCAAACAAATTTCCATGGCCAATCAGAACCAGGGTAAAATGTCACTAAAAGCCATTGAGAGCATAACTTAGAAACAAGCGCGGGAAAGGCAAATTACCAAGTCGTAATCGGTTTCAGTTTTGCATCTGATTAGTTGAGCTTGTGGAAGGAGTTAGTTTTCTAGACCAATCACAGAGTAAGAGTAAATGACTGAGTAAGAGCGGACTAAACACAAATACAATACATTCCCAAATTACTTTCGACACTAATGAGTGCTCTTTTGAAGAGATGTCTACTCCAAAAGGTTCCCCAAGCCATGATTAAATAGTGACATGCATACACATGAACTACAGTAAATAGTATACTTGAAACTGTTGCATGCAAGTGGAATTATGCCATAGAACTGTTTTGCATTGAAATATGAACGTTGTTGCAAGATAGTTCTGCTCTTTTTATATGTGAGCTGAGAGTTTGTCTTCATTAAGATTGCATTTTTTCCCGGCACTCAACCGTGGTTTCCAGTGTTCCCCTAATTTTTATTTGCTTTCACTTAATTCTTACCGGTTTGTAAAGCTGTTTTTTTCACGCAATTGTGTGACAATGAATTGGTCACACATTTGTGTGACGACCCACTACGGACGCTGTTATAAGTAACAAACATCGTTTTCGTTTCTTTTATCAGCGACTCAGCTGTGTTCTTTGCTCAAGGTGCTGACAGAATTGGTGGAACGTACACCAAGGCGTCGTATGAGGAGTATACGGACAGTACTTTTTCGGTGAACAAGGAAAAACCGAAACATCTCGGGTTTCTTGGGCCTGTGATCAGGGCAGAAGTTGGTGATGTGATCGAGGTCGTGTTCAAGAACAACGTAAGAAAGCTTTAATCGAAGCTCGAATGCGATTTATTTATTAAGCTCTTCTTGGCTTTCGTTCCAAAACTAACAACTTTCAGAGAACTGAACGGCGCTTTTCGCTTTTAAACCAAAACGTTGCCAATCATATTAATGTAACAGAATAAATTTACATGTGAAAACAGTGTTCTCGAGTTGTGTTCGCTACGAACACGCCTTCTAATATGTTGGCTTCTAATATGCCCAACTTTCTCTCGACCCTTGTCTACGTCAGTCATTTGTGGGATGAAGAAAAACATTTTTTGATAAAGGAATGAAACCTGGAAGTAATATTATGCCTATATGTGGAGAAACACCACTGAATAAACCAGTCGGAAACGAGTGTGGGGAATTTCAAATAGGAATACACAGCATATGAATTTTGCAATTTCAGATTTTCAAGTTGTTGGGAAAAGTCGTCCCTAGTTTTTTCGTCCCGCATTCAAAGAAGGATTGTAATGCTTACCCTACTTTTACCACTGTTTCTAAGTTAGTTTTGCTCTTTGGACAGGCAAACCACAACTACAGTATTCAGCCGCATGGAGTTTTCTTCAATAAGTCAAACGAGGGAGCCTTGTATCAAGATAGAACATCCGGGGCTCAAAAAGCTGACGATATCGTGCGACCGGGCCAGAATTACACTTATCGGTGGACTGTGCCCGAGGAAGTGGGTCCTAGTCAGAGTGACTCCAAGTGCATCACATGGTTGTACTATTCCAGTGTGGATCCTGTCAAAGACACATATTCTGGTGAGTTTTTATTGAGGGTCCTGGAACTAGGGTAAATTAAAGATGAATGTAAAATGTGTTTTCGACATTTTGAAAAGAAAAGTGTTAACGTTTGAAGTAAGTTGTTCATTATACGTAAGAAAAGGCGGCTATTTACCCCAAACAAAGAGACAATGAATTCGAAAAGCCATGGCCACACTTTGGAAAACTCAAGCGTTTTTCAACCTTCACGAATTTCCGCTGACAACGCCCTGATTGGAATCCTTTCTCGCAAATTGTTTCAGTCTTCAAGCGAGTGTGAAATCTCTGGTTGGTCCTACCAAGTATGTCCCTAGATAGGAACAAAAATATCATCAGTTTACGATGTTATCAATTGGTAAAGCAATTTGCCAACTTAAAAAAAAGACCATCACCTGCAGCTTGCATGGAGTTAGGCTCACTAGAACATTGTATTATTTAGCATTTTGTTTGATTTTTAAGTAAGTAGTGATGCGTTGTTGGTTTCTAGGTCTTTTTGGTCCATTGCTGACTTGTAAAAAAGGATCATTAAAGGACGACAACACACAGAAGAGCATCGACAAAGAATTCGTGCTGCTGTTTACTGTGACTGACGAGAGCGCGTCCTGGTATCACGAAGAGAACAAGAAGAGAGCGACTTATTCTAATACATTTAACGATGGTAGGGAAAATATTATAGTCAGTTGATCACTGAGATTCGTCAATGATCGTTACTGATCGACTTTGATCCCTAGTAACGTCAGTTATCTTCCGTTGTCGGCGTTGATTGACAGTGATCGACCGTGGTGGTCAATGGCTGGTTGTGGTCACTTGAAGATCTTCAGTTATCGGCAGGGATCGTTAATAATTGGCTGGGATCCCTATCAATATTACTGTTTGTTTGAAAGGACTTTGATTACAAAAACTGCGCAGAAGGTGTTTAAGAACTTGTAACAAAGACAATTACTTAATAACTTTAGTTTCTATCGCATAACGTATGCGACCTGATGACACTCTTTGTCGAATAATCTTGTCCGCAATTAACAGTCATTGTATAGTGTTATACTTCGGTAGCAGAGTATTTTGGAGAACCGTTTTGGTGTTTCGTCCGACCAGGTGTTAGCGTTTATTGCTTCGGACATAAAATGTTATATTCTTTTGTCTTCGCTCTTTTCGCAATGCCGTTTTCCTTCATGGCTTCCTTTTCCATGAACAAAATGGCAGCGCAAAATTCTATATCATAGATCAAGTCAAAATCTGTTAGATCTTTCTCAAAGTCTGCGATTCTCAGACTGGAAAGCCTTCCCGGGTCTCTATGTGGAACACGCCCCAACGACAGAAACTGGAGAGAGACCCAGACATACAAGAAGAAAGACTAACAGATAGGTAGAGAGATAAGCGGGCAGTCAAAAAGGAGAGAAAAACTGTCAGTTGGACTAGCAGTGGGGAGACAAGTAGACGGACAATAATACATGTGCAAATGGACTGCCTTTCACTGAGCTTTTCTGCCAGAATTTAACAGCTTTTAAATGTGGCTTGTCGGAATTTCTGATCTTAAATTTTGTATTCTGCTTGGTTCTTGTAGAGGATGAAGACTACCTTGAGAGCAACCTGATGCACGGAATCAATGGTTATCTGTACGCTAACCTTCCAGATCTAGACGTCTGTCTTGGGGACAAAGTATCATGGCACCTGATCGGCTTCGGAAATGAAGTAGACATGCACACAGCTTACTTTTACGGAAACACGTTCTCTGATAACGGTCAGATGAAGGATACAGTCAGCCTTCTGCCAGGTAATAAGGCAGAGAGAGAGAGAGAGAAACCAATGCTCGCTTGATTTTTAGTTTT